ATTCATTCTCCACATCGTAAGGGCTCGATGGGAGGTGTTTCGAAGGAAGTTGATGTTCTTGTTGAGGGTGGCGACGTCTTCCACAGTGGCTGTTTTGAGCTTACTGGCCATAATCGATGCCATGCCGGAAACTTCCGGCCTGGATTCCTTCGCCACCCAATTGACCTTGTAGATCGCCGAGCGAAACGCTTCGAACTCCTCGTCGCTGAGGGGAGAGTTCTTCTCAGAGCGCCTGCCCTTGTTCAGAGCCACCGGGTGAACTTGCTCCTCGATGTACTTCTTCTGGTCGATAAGAATCTTGTCGGGGAGCACCCTTATCATCCTCCCGGCATACTCCGCGCAGTCGTCTTCCCATTTGCCGAACTTGAACCTGGCCTGAAAGTCTTGCTTGACCTTCCCACGAATCTCCGGGCTGCAACTGACGATAAAATCGTCCACTTCGACGAGTACCTGGGCCTCGTTCTGTCCCGCATCGTTGAAACACATCCACCAACATGGCTCGACGAGGTTGCGGGTGAATCCCTGTTCTTGGAGAAAATCCACAACCGTGGCTCTCCACTCGGCCGGGGCATCGTCGAGCCCATACACCGGGACCTCGACGACAATCAAATCGCCAGGGCTCAGGCCAAGGCCCTCGCATGGCTTGGCATACAATGGCCCCTTGGGTCTCTTCAATGGCCGGCTCTGGCAAAACGCATTTGCCACATCTGAGAAACTGAACGCGTGGCCCAGGTTGAGCCCAGTTTGGCAAAATGCCATGAGGCCCTCAGTCGAGGGAGTGGGCGCATAAGTTGCGAGCGATGCCGTGTCGGGGTCCGTGTGCCCGGCAAGGCACCAACGGCTCTTCGCTTTCCACTGGCCCACTCCTGGTTGCGGCTTGCGGCGGCGAACGAGCCGCGAGTCCAAAATCCTCTCGGGATATCGGCGGCGTACTTCATCTGCCTCTCTGCCGCTAATGACTCGGACGGCACCAGTAGCCAGTATGGCTTTCCATTCGATCTTGTCGCTCTCATCGAAGAGGGCCCGATCCTTGGCATTCATGGCGCGGATGTCCACCTCGTCACTGCGGCTAGCCACGAAACTCCACTTTCCTCCTTCCTCAAGCGCCCAAAGGCCCTTCTCGCTGAACAAGTTCTCGTCGTTCTCTCGCAGGGGTGATCTTGATCTTGGGGTGCTTGACGATGCCGCTGACGACTGAGCCTGCCGTCCCCGCTCTAAAGCTCCTAGCAGACGCTGAATGGGAGTGCCAGGTGCTCGGCGCTCTCGGGCGTTCTGTTCCACCTCCTCCACTCGCCGTTGCTTAGCCATCGGGCCTTCGCCAGTCGGTGCTCTGGCTTCCGAGCTCACGGCTCTATCTTCTCCGACATTGGAGCTCTCGGGTTCCTGAGCTGGCTCTTGCACTGACGATCGCCTCGACTCCTCGTTCGGTCTTGCCGGCATCGGCGGTAGAGGATGCGGTTCTTCCACCACGGGCTCTGGTCCTCGGGGCCAAAGTCCAGGAGGTACTGGAGGAACTTCGCGAGGTGCTTCTTGAGGAAGGCTTTGGGCTTGGGAGTCTGCTCCTCCTAATGTGTCTTGCAGCGGAATGGTTTCTCCGCTGCCCTCGGTTTGAGGTGGAAGCAACTCGTCTCCGTTCTCACGGGGAGGTCCTTCACGAACCACATCAACAGCTCCGGCTGTCGTACCGGACATCACCTTCCTGAGAAGCTCTGCCATCTCAGGATCGGACGCAAGCTTTCTGCCTAGGACCTCGGAGGGAAAAGCTGGCCTCAGCTGCTCTGGGGAGCATCGCCACAACCTCGATCGCATCGCCACAAACACAACCGATTTAGTCTGAAGCACTACCAGTCCTGGCCCTACCCATCGTGAAGTCGGGTGCAGCTGATCTCCGAGGCGTCCTCGTCGAAAGCAATACACCCACTGACCCGGGGCCCAAGTTCTCATGGGAGTACTTGAGGTAGCTAATGCTCGCCTGATGGTTTCGCGGCTGTTTTCAGCCATAGCCAACTGACGGCCCCTCTCACGAATTGCTGCACTCTTTCGGAAAGCTGCTCCTGCCTCGTCCATGCCGGCGGGGTCATGAAAGGAGTCGCTGATGATCTGCTGGCCGTTGATGTTGTCGCTGAGCAGCTCGCCGGGTACTCGAGGCAACTCGCCAAACACCAACTGCGTCGGGGTGTAGCCTCCGGAGTTGAACCATCTGTTCTTGGCCGCGACGACGGTTGCCAGGAGCTCGTCGAGGTCTGCGAGGTTCTCGACGATGCCTTGTCCTGAATCCAGCTCCTGAGCGATACGCTGCTTCAGCCATCCTCCATGCCTTTCTGCTCGACTATTCTGCCACGGAGACTCCGGGGCAGTGATGTGGTGCAAAATCCCGAGCTGCTCGATGCCTCGCTCGAAGCGTCCTCCGAACTCTCGTCCGCCGTCGGTCACGATCAAGCTCGGAGGGCCCATGTATCGGATCCACGAAGTAGCGAAAGTTCTCCACGTCGCCTCTGAGCTCGGAGTTCCACCGCCACACCCATCTATTCTACAGGCCATCTGATATCCCGTGCCATGGCAGACGAGGTTGAAGACCGGGATGCTCTCGTTGCGGTACTTCAGGTAGAAGATGTCTACGCTCAGCACTCGGTTGAATCCATGAACCCGGGGACATTGGGCCTTCCGTCGGTGATCGGGTCCTTTCTTGGCTGAGCAGGCTGAGCACTGATATTCATCACGAATATATCGAAGCACATGTGGAAGCGCTCCTGCAGCTCTCATCGTCCTCAGAAACCTCTCCTTAGGCGGGTGTCCTGAGTTGACATGCACCTTGTGAATGAGCTGCTTCTGGCTTTGGGTCACCTGGGCTGCGGTACTCATTCTGCTCTGGTCGACGTTCGGGGCGGCGTCGATCTCGCCATCTCGCTCTGGATCGTTCTCTTCTGCCTCCTCGTCGATCTCCGGAGCTGAGGTGTGAGTCACATAGCTGGGAAGGTGCTTGACGCCCGTTCCTTCGCACTTGATGGCTTGACTTATCCGCTGCGCAGCACTGCCTCGAGATAGAGGATGTTCCTCGTAGCCCTGCAGACTGAAGCCGAAGTCCTCGAGGTGTCGGCTCTGGGATGCGGTCATCTGCTCGCTGGACCTAGATCGGAAGGCGGTGATAGACCATCTTTCACCTTCCCACTCGTCCACGGCGTGGTACTTCTTGGGGTCGAAGACGTTCATGCGGTTGTGGTGCTTGAGGATCCTGCCTGAGCGGTAGTCATCGGGGGCAACCTTGAGGATGGTGTTTCCGCTCTTCTCCTCAACCCATAAGTCTCCGCCCTTGAAGCTCCCGAAGGCTATACAGTAATTCAGCCCGAGATTGTTGATGTCGCGGTGAGGTCGCACCTGAGCATTTCTGGTAATCGACAACGACGACCTCGGCCCACGAGCTCCATGAAAGGTCATGAAGTCGTTGAGGTAGAGGGTAGTGTAGCGAAGCTTGTACGTGCTCAGTGTCACTCCAGCAAACTTCCCGTAGCTGTACTGCCCGAGTACTTGGTACATATCTGGATCTTGGATTGATCTCCTCTTCCTTCTCTGTGCTGGCCACCGAGTCTCCCTGAGCAATCTCTGGCATGCCGCGACGGAGAAGTCGCCGTTAGCGCGCAGGTGATAGGCGAGCTTCTCCCCGTCGCTCAGTGAAGACCAATCCATTGCCCAGCACGGCATCGTAGAGGAGGAAGGGCACCCTGTCATTGCCTTTGTCAACGACCACATCCATGCTGAACTCGTAGCGATCCTTCGGCCCCGTGACTTGTCAGTCTGCACCAAGACGGCTGGATTGGTGATCACCTCACGCCATTCAGTGCTCCTCCACAACTGGTCGTTTTGATCTGCCTCCAAGTAGAAAAATCGTCCTCCCCTGACCTGCTCGTTGATCACCTCCAGGCTAAAGCTTGTCCTCAGGGATCTGACGACCTCGTCTGGAGACCTGTCTCCTGTTCCTGAAGACGACCAGGTTGTGCTCGAGGTATCCGTCGAAGTGGCAGCTCCGGATCGCGCCGTAGGTCTAGTCGATCTACTCGTTGACGGACTCCTGGTTGTGCTCGAGGAATCTGCTGAAGCGGTAGCTCCAGATCGCGTAGTAGGTCTTCTTGATCTACTCGCCGAGGGACTCCTGGTTGTGCTCGAGGAATCAGCCGAGGTGGTAGCTTCGGATCGCGTAGTAGACGCCGAGCGGCTCGTGTCCTCCGGAAGGCTCATCACCACCAGCTCCGGCCGACGATCTCGTAGAAATTTCCGGAACCTCTGGCGATGATTCTTCTCTTGCACCCTCCATCCGGCCTGAGTGGTGAAGCTCTCGTGACTCGCAGGTACTCGAATGCCCTCTCGTAGAGCGCACTGCGTGATGGCGCCCGCGTGGAAGAGCTCGACCAAATCCACCTCCGAGTTGGAAAGTCCTCGCCTTTGTTCCCGGGCCATTCGCCAAAGACTCTCCTCGGCGGACTTGACCTCGGGGCACCTGATGGTTTCGTACTCCTCCTCGAGCGCTCGCTGCATCCGTGGAGCATCCACCAGCCAGTAAGGGCCTTCCTTCGAAGGCTTGCCTCGTTCGTCTAGCCCCTGACACACTGCCTCGGGCTCCAATGCCTCGTGTATCATCCGGAACTTCGTGGGGCACGTCCACAGTATGACGTCCTCGTCCTTCTCGGAAGAGCTCACTGGGCCAGGGCCTCGGGCTTGTAGTAGATCACGTTCACGCACCTCATGCCACAAGACTTCCTCCCTGCCAGAGGGGGCGGTAGAGGTAGTCGCCGACACCCAAGGCCATTGCGTCCAGGAAGGAGTCGACAAAGTTTCCAGCCTTGGTCGCTGCGTAGGTTCCGGCAGAGGGCAATGTACTATCCAGCTGTCAGCACTCCCTCCCAACGCTGCAACCGTCCCCTTGGCACTGTCCGTGAGCTGGCCCCATGACAACAGTGAGGAACTCATCGATATCACGGGCAGGGCCAAGCTTCGCGGCCACGTCCTCACGGCAGGTCGGTGAGATTGGGGTTTGGAATCTGAGTCCAGCTGACCGGCGAGTCGGCGTTCTCCATCTCCTGATCGGCGTTCTTCATCGCCTCTTCGGAAACCTGCTGCAGCGTCATCTCGTGGATCTCCTCCGGAACGCCTTGCTGCTGCATCATCGCCAGCATCTGTCCTTGGCCTCGAGCTAACTCCCTCAGAGTCTGTCCCACTTCGTGAAAGCTGGAGGCCATGGCCCTCAAGGTGGCGTTCAGCTCCTCGGGGATGTGCTCCACTGGTGGCGAGGTGGTCGTGCGCCTTGTGCTTGGTGTCGCCGTAGAAGGATAGCTTCCCACCGAAGACGCTGGAGCGCTTGAGGATGCCGGGGTTCGGTTGTTCCTGGCCTTGGCTTTGCCTCGAGGTAGTCCAGGATGAGGGGTGTACGTCAGCCTCGCCTCGCACTTCCGGCACACGGTCCATGAAGCATACTGATTTGCCCTTCGAATCGGACTTCCCGGGTGGAGGCACTTCATGGGCTCCTGGACGTCCGCGGTCAGGAACTTCTTCCTCTCCGACAAGATGCTCTTCTGGTGGGTCTCCGCGGAGGCCAGGCGGGCGTAGTTGGCCCGGATCGACTCCACCACGTAGTAGACGCGCATCATGAGTCGGCGCCACTTCCATGCGATCGCATTCTGAGTATCGCCCGTCCTCGCCTCCATCGATCGAGATGGATCCTCCATGTTCAAGGCGAGTCGCGGGAAAATCGAATTGAGTTCTACTTCTCGTAGAGCAATTGCCCATTTGGGCGATTGAGCCTGAGTGTTCGGAAGAAGACGCAGGTTGAATCACATGGAAGGAATTCTCTGATGGCACAGCGGGGGAACATCCGATGGTAGCACCCTCGATGCAGACTGCTAGTTCGGAGCTTCCTGCATGATGTTCACACTCGACGGAAGGACACACTGCACCCTCACTGACGAAACTGCTAGTCCCTTGTTTCATGCACGCGGAGAAGAGCGCCGCATCCTTCGCAAAAGCTCCGGGACTGAGGCCGTACTGCGATTGCACAGCCTCGGGAACTGGAAAATCTCCACCTTCCCACTGCACCAACGGAACAGCCTTGTGCCCGCTAGGGAGACTCACCATGCTCAGGTCCACGCCGATGTTCTTGAACCGCACCTCGTTCGTGGTCAGGTCCATGGAAGTGCCCAAATGCTCCAGCAGCCCCACGGAAAGCAATGGGGGAACCTCTCCGTCAATCACCAAGAACTGAATCACCCCCGGAACTCCTCCAGGGGATATCGGAACTAGAGCTGTCTTGCTCACCTTGGCAGCTCCTCCGATCCCAGTTGGCGCTGACGACGTCGTGGGGATCTCCAGGGTCTGAAGACCGCACCTTGCCAACTCGTGCTCAAGTGCTCGGAATGCCGTCTTTCCGATGATATCCTGAGTGGCGCCAATATCCAAAATCGCCATGCCGGAGGGGATCGTCAGGAAGTTCCACGAGCCCACGGTCGCCAGGGAGGCCTCGGGGGTCACGTAAGTCATGAAGGAGAAGTGGCTTCCTCCACGGCTTCCAGATCCCAGGTAGCAAAATCCACTCATCTTGTTGCCGCCCTCGTTGGCCGTGGGTCTGCCGCCCTGCTGTCGACAATCTTCTGCCCAGTGCCCGCGCTTTCCGCATAGATGGCACCTGGAAATTTTCTTAAGTTGCTCGCGAGAGACCTTAGGCTTAAACCCAGAGCTCCTCGATGCCATACGCCCACCGTCTTGGAGTCCTCCTCCGCTGGCGCCCTTAGTGAAGCTCCCTCTGTCCTTCCGAAGCTCGGCCTTGAACTTCTTGTTCTCCTTCCACGTACGGCGAAACTTCGGAGGGCGGTCCTCTAAGAGAGCGAAGACAAGGGACGCCTGCTCGTGGGTGAAGTTCATGTCGGTGAGCTCGTCCAGGATCAGCTGGTCCTCAGCCGAGTCCGAGCTCTCTTCCGGGAGGTTGTCCTCGTCGTCCTCCTCATGGTAGCGGTCCTCGTCGGCCAAGTAGCTTTCGCGTGTCGTTGGCCCGAAGTCCTCGCTCACGAAACCTGACAGTCGATCTCCGCGGGTGTCCATCCGCGCCAGGTGGAGGGCCATGCTCTCGACATCGTTGTCCCGGCCTTGGAGGAGGGTGGTGAGGTTCTGCTGCCCCTGCTCGGACAAACCCGAGCCCTCTCGGAGCATAGCTGCGCGTAACTGCTGGGGCAATTGCACTCCGTAGGATGCCGCCTTGGCGAAATCCCGAAGCCGACGATTGGCATACTGGCCCAAGGACTCGTCCTTCTTTCTGGAGTTCTCGTGCAGCACTCCACGGAACGCTGCTCTTCGATCATCATCCTCCCGAACTCCGGCCTTCATCTCGATGACCTTGAGGATCAGCTCCAGGTAGTCCGCGGATGCCAACTGAGCCTCACTAATATGTTCGAAGTCGCTCATCATTTCCCATCCCAAGGTACGAAGTACTCGCTCGGATCGCCTGCCCAAGGGAATGTCGGTGAACTTGTTCCATCTTCTGACGGCCGTGACCCACTGTCTCCGGTACTGCCATCCTGGCCAGGCGGGAGGGTCTGTGAAGTCGCCTTTCCAGACTCCTGGAGGTCCAGTGCTCCCGTCCGCGGCACTCCATGGAAGCCCCATGGGAGGCGTCCAGGTGGGAGGTTGAAGCTGATTCCATCCGCCAGTCGTAGGTCCGGGCATCCAGGTAGTCGCCGAACCCGGGTGGTTCACGTTCGGCGCCGGCGGCTGATGTCCTGCAGGAATGCCCCAGCCATGCGCCAAAGGCCTGGGAAGTTCCGGAGGCTGAGGTGCCTGAGGAATTTCAGGCGGTGCAGTCGTCGCGGTCGCGAAATTCCGCCCAGGCTGACGAGTGGCGGAGTTCACCAACCCCCTAGCTGCCTCGAGCCAGGGGTCATCGCTTCTTTCTCCTTGCGGTGGATCGGGTCCTTGAGGGTCTAGTCGTCCCGGGGAGGCCGATGTCGCCGTCGACGCACGGGCCGTAGACGCCGATGCGCTCGCCATGGTGGGGTCCGGGTGGTTCTCGCCCGGCGCCTCTGATGAGCCAAAAGCAGGAAAAGAACTCGCTGAGAGATGACCATTCTCCCCTGGCCATCCCATAAAACCCCAGGACTGGTCTCCCCAAGGGCTTGGCTGGTAGGGAGGCCAAGCTTGACCTCCATACGCTGCAGGTCCTCCTCGACCACTCCATCTATCGAAGCTTGCCGTAGCTCCCTGCTGCTGTCTCGCAAGAGCTTGCATAGCGGCTGCCTGTCCCAACATGTTCACGGAGTAGGGCTCAATCTGGAACCCGGCCTATCGGAGCCGAGCTCCGCTACCAACTGTAGCAACAGTTGGACAGCAGCTCGCACATGCCTACGCACTTTTTCCTGCAGCTCGCATGAGCGATCCGGCTTGAGCCACGAATGTGGCGAGTCTTCCTGATGAGCAGCATGCCTGGTCAAGAGAGCTACGCGATCCCAACAGTACAATCCTCACAGGGGTGCTTCAAACTGAGGGGACTTTGGACACAGAGGTATATGGTCCCTAAACCCTAAACCTTTGGGGTCTACTAGAGAGTAGCATGGAGGGTCTAGGAACAGTTACATCTGACTCTACTCTCCCATGCAACTGAACCAACAACCAACAGGAGCTGCGTTTGGGGTATAGGCTATGGGGTATAGGGCTTAGGGTTATCACCCCAATGGGATCCTTTGTACAACCTGCGCACTAACTTGATTGAGGCTAGGGTTTAGGGTCATGCCTCCGTGGGGAGTTCGTGAGTACAGCAAGTTCCCCTGTCATGTCCCTGGAATGATGGAATCCTACGGCTCAGAAGGCATAGGAGGGGGGGGTACCTTGTCTATGGTAAAGACATGCATGATGGAAGGCAACAGGGAGTTGCCTTTGGATACTTGAGATGGACTTTACCTAGAAAGAACCTTATTGTGGATACCCATGACCCGCAAAAAAAAATGCTAAACCCAAGACGCACAAAGCCTAGACCCTGATGACTAGACGCTTATCGAACATTTTCTGAAGCCTAGACCGAAGCCGTTTCGAGCTGCCGTTGCGCTATGGATCCCTTTAGTTTAAGGAGCCCTAAGCTGATCCACAGTAGGATTTCTTTACCCATAGGCCTCTACGTAGTTCCTTTTTGTGGTTTCTATTGTATTTAGACTCCAAAAAGGTAATCCCCAAAAGGAACTACTTACGGGCCTATGGGTAAGTGGACACGATGGACTCCGCTTGTGCGATTCATCGGGACCAAATGGCCTCCGATTTTGGTCCTTCCCTAAACCCTAAACCCTAAACCCTAAACCCTAACCCCTAAACCCTAAATGGTCCTTCTGTCTGGACTTCGGGGGTTCGAGCCTAGAGTTTGTAGGGTTGATGGCTTCGCTTAAGGGAGGGGCTTTAGGATTTAGGGTTTAGGGTCTTAACGGATCTATAAGGGTTCTAGGGATGTATAACCCTAAGGCTCCAAATAGTCCAAAAGCCTTGGATAGTAGGGTCTTTCGGCCCAAAAAGCCTCACAAATATGAGTCCTTAGAGCCTTAGGGTAGGGGTTCTACAACTCATTATAGTACCCTAAACCCTAAACCCTTCCCTAAACCATAAACCCTAAACCCTAAACCCTAAATTATAGTGTTTAGGGGGTGCAGGAGTGTCGAGGTTCCCATCAAGGTCCTATGAGGGGGCTTCTGGCTTTCTAGGGTGTAGGAGTTTCAGGGTTCCTTTACAGCTCCTTGACCGGATCAATAAAGGTTCTTTGACGGTTTATGGTTTGAGGGTTTAGGCTCAAGGTCTTGAGTGCTTAGGGTCGGGAACTTCCGTTACAAAGGGTTTAGGCCTTGAGGGATTCAGCGCGCGCGGGTTGCTGGGGCACTTGCGGAAATCCCTAAACCCCTAAACCCTAAACCTTAAACCCGTAAACCCCTAAACCCTACACCCCTAAACCCCTAAACCCTAAATCCCTAAACCCTAAACCCTAAATCCCAAAATCCCTAAACCCTAATCCCTAAACCGAAAAAGCCCTAAACCCTAAACCCCTAAACCCCTAAACCCCTAAACCCCTAAACCACTAAACCACTAAACCCTACACCCCTAAACCCCGCCCTGAACTTCCAAGCATGAAGACCACAAATCCTTAACCCAATAACCACTAACCCTCCTCAATCGGAAGCCGGACGTCTGCAGGCGTCTTGAGAGGGGCCGAAGAAGTTATATAGAGCCTTCCTTCTGAGGGTTTGCGGGCTGTGACTGTTTATGGTTAAGGGTTCAGGGTTTGGGGTTTAGGGTCTCACTCACTGTGAATATAAAAGTAAAAGGGCCTTAACCAGCGGAATAGCATTGTACCTTTTGGGGCTGCGTTACAGCATAGCATAGGGTCGATAAGAGGAGACTATAACAGAGTACTGCTACTGGAACTCTACCTCTTTGGGTTGCCCACTTTTTGGTAGGAAGCAGGTCCTGTTCGTGTTTGTGGATTTAAATAGGAGAATCGTCTGGGCAAGAAACCTTGCGGCTATAACGACATACCCCAACTTCAAAGCCCTCTTCTAATCAATGGGGCCCCCGTATTACAGGGATTGAACCACACAATGCCCCAAACCTCATTGTAGCTTTGAATCTTCCGATGTTCCGCCACTTATGATTATAACCGGTACCACAAGAGAATACTACTTATGATTGCCCCTAAGCACCAGAGCCTAAACCTGAAAGCCTTAACCCCCATAGTATGCGTTTAACAGTTCTTGCGCCCCTTTTCGAAGCCCTGCCAAGGGCCTGGATGACACCTGTGAGACAAAGGGCACAATACCCGTAATGTCGATTCTGAAAGGTGTTCAGGAGTACCCTTAACCTTAGGTACAGGATTTTGCTTGAACTACATTTGGATTTCATGGCGTTTCCGGAGATCAGGGGTTTTGGGCTTACTGGTAATCGAGGCGGATTGCCTAAACTTGATAAGCCCGAAACCACAAACCTTTACACGCCTGTAAACTAAAGGTAAAGCTGAGCATACACCCTAAACCCTCATCCAGCAAGGGGTACAAATGTGAGTCAACCCTAAACCCTAAAAACCCAAAAACCCTAAACCCTAAACCCTAACACCCTACACCCTAAAACCCTAAAACCCTAAAACCCTGAACCCTAAAACCCTAAACCCTGATTGAGGGTCCTCTAAGACAGCCTGGCCCTGGACCTTCACCTCTAAGAACACAAGGGTTTAGGGTTTAGGGATTAGGATTTAGGGGTTTAGGGATTTAGGGTTCAGGGATTTAGGGTTTAGGGTTTAGGGTTTAGGGATTAGGATTTAGGGTCTAGGGTTTTGGGTTTTAGGGTTTGGGGTTTAGGGTTTAGGGGTTTAGGGTTTGGGGTTTAGGGGTTTAGGGTTTAGGGGTTTAGGGTTTAGAGTTTAGGGGTTAGGGTTTACCTTAACCCCGAAATAACCTACTTTTTTCTAAGGCCTTGTAGAAAGGAAATCATAACAAGGAGCCCTAAAAACTTAGGGGCCGAGTGCCTTAGCCCAAAAAGGTTAACCTTTTGAGTTATAATAGTTTTATATAAGCCCCAAAAGGTTAAAGGTTACCCTTAAATCTTATTGGGGTTCTTTTTATAATTTAAGGTGTACTCCTTAATGAAGGGTTTTTGGAGTCTCTGGGAACACCCTTCAATCAGGGATGCTATGCCATCGATGACAGCGATGACATCCGCCGCTCAGTATCAATCTCCTCCTTGAAACACGGTGCGTCCTGAGAGGTTTAGGGTTTAGGGGTTTAGGGTTTATAGGGTTTAGGGTTTAGGGTGCTTGTGCTTCTAGTCTTAGGTAGTTGAGGGCTCAAGGTTAGTTTAGGCAGAACTATATGACTATATGCACTCTCTTTGGCCGAAAAAATGTGGCATCTCTGCCTTACCTTGGCACATTTGATAACCGTACCGACCAACAGGACGGATCTTTGAAACAAGCTGGAGAGTCCACTTACCCAAACCAGGGTGCGGCTGGATACAGAATACTGGTCACCAGACACCAAGTGGTTTTAGGGGTGCCGCTGACGGTCCCTGAGACCGTTCTGAGGAAGAGGGACGTGTTCAGCAAAGCGCTCCCGCTCGTGCTCAGACTTTATCCGAACCGGGATCTGGTCCGAGCATATGATGACGAGATCAGAGATGTGCTCTGTGAACTTTCCCACCTTCTCTCCGAGCACAGCCACAGAGCCGATACACGCGTCAGCGTCGCAGAGACGACCTGCGCAGATTCCGACGCGGCCTGCTCGGCCGCTCGCTTACTGGCTGTGCGACGAGCCATTCACCAGAAGACCCTGCATGGAGGCTTGAAATCACATCCAGCTGCTTGATTACACAGCCTAGAGCATCCCCCTCCAGAATGCACCTTGTAAAATGGGTCGTGACTCCCTAATCCCTAAGCACCCAGATTCAGATCCCGTATGATCTGGCGCACATGGTTCTTCACTGTATTCATAAGCCATGGGGGCCTGTCAATTCAGGTACCCAGGGTCCCTGTAGCCATGTTAAGGCTCTTCGAGAATTCTTTAGGGCTCTTCAAGCGTTCTGTGCATATAGTAACCCTAAACCTGAAGAATAGCTATCAAGTAGGTGCACGAAAGTTAGAGCTTAGGGTTACTGCAGGAACCTGTGAAACCTTGTGGTTCTTATGAGGGTTCCGTATATGAGTCCTACTATTTTGGGGGTTATTATATAGGCCCAGGGTTTCTTAATCAGGTTCCTACAGTATCCTTCCCGAGGAGTGATCAATCAGAAATTGGA